GCCACGCGCCAATCTCGCGCAGCGGATTCAACTGGAACTAGTTTCGAGGCGCCCCACTATTACCCGCACCATTCGCAACCCGCTACGCGAATCCGCCACCCACTTTGCCTCCCCCACCCGGTTTGCCCCGTATAGCCGGCCACCCACCGAACTCGGCTACCCCTGCGCGAGAGACTGTCGCAACTACAAATCCGTAACTCGACCAATCACGATTGCGGTATATGGTACCTACGCGGTAACATTGGATCGGGCACGACACGACGAGGCTTTTCATGGAATTCTTATCCGTTGTTACACAGATAAACGGGTCCGGCGATCCGCGGGGCCACCAGGACAAACCGGAGGTAGACAAAACCGTTTGTCTCGTATGATACGGGGTTTAATTATAAATCGTGGGAGGGTCGATATCGCGGTTAGGATTCGTAAATTCGCACGCCCCGGACTTCCGTGCCACGGACGGATCAATGAAATGTACTCCTCCACCGGCAGCACCTCACCCGCCACCCCCGTGATAGCGAGAAACACGGTACCACACCGCGCCACCCTTACTATCTTCACCTGAAAACATTCGACCACCTTTACAGAACGACCGACCGTTTCTGCGAGCTCGGCTGGTAGAAGCTTTCTTCTTGGAACCGCTCGGGCGATCGTGCTGCGATCTTACCCGTCATTCTGGTACCGGCGCCATTGTAGTACGGTACAATTGACTGCCATTCAGCGGGAATTATCGTGGAGTTGATACTTGGTTCTCTGTCACCGGTTTTCCTCGGTTGTACTTTTTATTTTATAGATGTTTGATCGTATCGCGTTTCGAGAGAAATCTTTATGATACGCGTGATCGTGTTGGATTAATGAGAGAAATGTATATATGTATATCGGTTAATATGCTTATGTAGTTTTGATTTATTAATGAAACGTGTATAAATTTGTACAGAATAGTTCGTTTGCATTACATTAATGTATTCTTCAAGTTGATTCGTGGGTCAACTTGAAAAATCGTGTAAAAAATATATGTGCTATTTATAAATATAGTAAATCTCTTTTTGTATTTGTCTAACGGTGGTATCTCGTAAATGCAACTAAACGTGCTCTGAATTCTATCGAACACGACGTAGTCGGAATTTTGTTTAACGTCTAAAGGCCCCTTCATTGACTTATATACGTATCACTGTTCCGTTTGGGACTCTTTCGAATGCATAGAAACACACTAGTCGCTATCAGGATAATGAGCGGGAGGCCAAGGCCAATTGAAATAATCAGTATCACCAAGTAAGAAAATCTTTCGTTCGGCGGTGTGCCGTAACCAATTAAAAACGTCCTACAAGAAAGATTATTATCGGATTTGTTCTAAAGCAGGATATTATTAAGATGAAAGTAGAATTACCATGTAGAGTAGTACGTCCTTTTATAGAAACCATCCCCTTTCGCACCTAGTGAAACTATGATCCTTTGCGTGAGTAAATTGTCCACTTCGTCTCCGTAATAACAGTACAACATTGAATTTTTAATCGCATTTGTGTGGTCGGATACTTTCAATGGCGGGTATTGTATTATTTCCGTGGCATTCGCTATTTCACGAGATATACTTGTATAAGAGACTGGTCTCCATTGCAGATAAGCACCTTGTGTTTGATAATCATCCATATTTGTATGAGGTGGAGTTCTAACTTCAACAACCTGAATTAAGAATAAAATTGTGATAACGATTTTTATTATACATAAAGTAATATAGTAAAATCTATTATTAAATATTACCTCAAATACACCTGGAGTGTGTTCGTCATCTAAACTCTTCTTAGGATTAATGAACATGGGTATTTCTGGATCTCCTCCTCCTACTACTAGTAATTCAATAGCAAATCTACTGTGGGAAAAGTTGTTATTCGTTTGTACATGGTCAAGTATAATGTCCACCTGAGTAGAATTCTCTGTATGCAACATGTGAGGCATTATTTCTGAATGGTCCAGGGTACAAAATCCTCTTAGCTGTAAAATCATTAAAGTAATATAACAGTTTAAAATATACAGACGAGATTGGATATTTAATATGTTTACCGAAAGCTTCATTGTCCCATGTCTGCTGGTATTTGTAAGAATATCATTATAAGTGTTGCCTTCCATCTCCAAGGAAACAAATTCATTGTCTTGTAACAAAATCTTGCGCTCCCATTGGAAAAACATAGGATATAGAACACTTGTGTTTATAACATTATTAATGTTTATCAATGCTGTGTCATTTATATCATTAAATTCTATAATCTAAAAGTTGAATTGATTATTGTTTAACTGAATGTTGCCTCCAGTGATCTATCTGCATACTGACCTTATTTATAATTACACCAAAAGTATAAACAGGTGTTTCTGTAAAGTTTATAGAATACTTTTTCCTTGCAAGAAAGTCCTCCCAATTTATATTGAGAGATGCTGAAGACGAAGTAAGAGCTAATAGTACAGACGGATTGCCACCAAAATCCCATAGATAGTGCAATGTATCATTAAGACCATCAGCTCTTAGGTAAACTGTTGTCAAATTTGTGTCTTTACATAATTCGCCACAGTCAGGATTCACCCATGATCGTAACTAGTGCCAGGCAAATTCTTTTATATAAAAAAATGTAAATATATTGTTTACAGCTCAATATGTATGAAGTATATAATTATAGTTTCACATTTTAATTACCATATATTATACGGTTTCACCGATTAATTAAAAAAAAATTATAAATAATATTTTTATAACATTATTGTTGTACAGTATGTTTGATATCAATTACATTTCTATTTTTCATATTAAAATATAATTATATATAACGTATAATGAGATTAAATTATGTTATGATATTATCTATATTTTCTTTCTTAGCAACACGATTGGATTGACAATACCTATTAGAATTAATTCCGAAGTTTTCGTACATTATGACATTACCGCACGATTATTTCTCACGTTAATTAATAAATGGGTTATGGGATCTCGGGTTCCTGATTAAGGAACGGATTGTTCCCAATTACCATTGAATTGTTATTCAACGACTAATCCCGCGATATGACTATAACTACTAAGCAAAGTCTGGACATAAGATACAACAATCAAATGATGAATCATATATGCACGACCTTTGTTTTTCATTTAAAAGGACATTGATCCAACCACATAAATAAAATAGAATCTCGTTGATTTGATATTGTAATGTTATACCACTTACAGTTCTTTGCGTGCAATATCCAAAATTTATTAACGTTAAAAACAATAACAATGATATAACAACATTATCCATTCTGTCTGATATGTATAACAAATCCAAGCCTTCATCAACACCACCACCACTACTTACGACGCTACGGATCGCTACTGAGACGCCCTCGTATCAAAATGGAACTTCAATATGGCGACTGTGGCGACGCCTGCGAAGAATTCGTCAACGGAGAACTATTATCAATCAATTTTTGCGAACTCTGCACATTAAAAATATTCGAAATTATCTGCTTCCGCTTGTTAATTTCTCGCACTACAATTCACAGTGCAATAAACAATAATATTCTTCAACATTCTAAACAATCGAGACAAAACCTCTAATTTATTTGGAAGTAGAATATAAAATGAAGTAAGCTAAATATCAACTAATATACTTATTCGACTTTTGTTACATTATTTATTTTAGATACATATGCAAAGCACGAAACAATCGATCAATCAATCATTTTCATGTCACTGCTGACATTAGCATATACATCGAATGTTCTAGTCTTTTCCCATGACGCATAAATCATTTATTTATACAACCAACAACAATTTAAACGAAAATAATCTAACAAATATATATATTAGTCAAAAATGTCTTTAAAGTATCACATAATAATTCATTACTCAAGACAATGTATCAGAGTTACCATAGGACAAAACAGTTCTCGTAGTTCAACACAGATGACACCACTGTCAAAAGTCCACAAAACAGGAAACGTACTTATTGACACTGCTGTTCTACAATAATTAGATTTGTTCATATTTAAAAATTACTTTAACAACTGACTAACATTTCGATTCCATGCATTTCAACTATTTCTCTTACTTAATTAAGTGCATCACCAATAACTCGTATACTTACTCGCATACTTACGCGATTGTAAAACATTGGTATAAGTCATTCCGCTAAATCCGTGTTCGGTGAAACGTTAAATTACCATAAGATTTAAATATCCTTAAGGCTGCGTTTCGCGACGAGGGAAGGAAACTCGTACCCCATTGGCCATCGAACTCCGCCAACGGTGGTGGAGTTACCAATCCTCGACACAGTACTTCCTTTTTCCTGAATTCTCAACGGTTCACTGATTCGCCGGTGAGAAACCAAAACGTTAAATCCAAATTATAATTCACGCTATTAAAGAAAGAACACATTACAGATCATTTTATTCTCAATTTTATTCATTCGTATTACTGAGTATCGCCTAATGTCTTCATCCTTCGTACGTTGTACCATTTACAACAGTTGGAGATTCAATTAGTTCCATTTCAGATTTCAACTCGACGATAACGTTACTTAACACTGGGACTACCGTAACAGTTAAAGTTTCGTTGTCTCGCAATTATTGACGCAAAAGCATTGAATATTCCAAATGATTTCGAAAATAAATAGTTCCATTTGAATATTATTATGAACGTCTGAAGAAACTGAAAATATTGTTACAATTTTCATAGGGATTAAATAGTAATCGTATTAAATGCTCGGTAGTTCTAGTGTTAATTAAGAGTCAAAATGGCTGATTTCGATTCTCTTCTTTCGCAGTTCTCGATATATTAAAGGCGTTGAATATTTGAAAGGATTTTGAAAATAAATAGATCCACTTGAATATTATTATGAACGTTTGAAGAAACTGAAAATATTGTTACAGTTTTTATAGGGAGTACATATTAATCGTATTAAATGCTTGGTAGTTCTAGTACTAATTAACAGTCAAAATGATTCTGTAAATAAATACTTTCACTTGAATATTATTAGAAATGTCTGAAGAAATCGAAGATAATCTATTGTTATAATTTTTATAGAGATTACATATCAATCGTATTAAATGCTCGGTAATTCTAGTATTAATTAAGAGTCAAAATGGCTGATTTCGATTCTTTTGTCTCGCAATTATCAATATCTTAAAGGCGTTGAATATTCGAAATGATTTCAAAAATAAATAGTTCCATTTGAATATTATTATGAACGTCTGAAGGAACTGAAAATGTTCTTACAATTTTTATGGGGATTACATATCAGTCGTACTAAATGCTCGGTAGCTCTATCATTAATCCAATTTCATTTACTGTACTTCTTCCAACGCGATAATCATTAATTCTTAACACCAACTTTCACTGGAATCGCTTTTCCCAGCCAGACAATAGCTCCGCTTTTTCAGGACACCGTGTACAGCCGGGGAACGAGAACGTGTAAAAAGAACATTAACTTGCAGACTACGACCTTGACCGAAGCAGTGTCCGCGCCTGAAGCACATACATACGTACGTACAAATGTTCGTACGTACGTCTAGCGTTTCAAGGAACTTTGTTTCACCGGGTTCCCACTGAGTTCCCTCCGCTATGCAGAATACCGGCAAGTTAAGAGTACACCTGCAACAATGTTGCCTCCTTTAAAACCTCCGGCAAAACGAAATTTCGACGAGAGACCAAACGAAACACGATTTATCTAAGCAGTTCGCTCGCTTCGGCAGAAGCAGTCGCGGCCAATGCTCTTCGACGATTTAACGATACCGTGGTGAAGGTCGTCTGAGGAAGTCGGGATTCGCGGGAGAATACAACCGTCCCACGTACCGGGTAGCCTACTCCAAAACCGCTCCCACACCGAACATTCTACCTTCAAACAGAAAAACCGTTGAACACGAAAATCGCGAAAGATAAACTTCCACTTCTAGCCTACACATCTCCACCGGCTCTAAAACATCTCATTCATCGAAACCTATTCAACCAGTGTACTCAAAAATGAACTCGAGATTCATTTAATCCCATCAAGCATCGATTTTATCAAAGATTTTACAAAAATCTCTGAAAATCCACCGAGACTAACGCGTTTAACCCTTTGTAGACAATGATCGTTGAAAGTATATGAAACCTTTTGCAGATTCTGCTAAATTAAATATTCACTGCTTAAATCATAGAGAATATTGAAATTGTGTACTGATTTCTTACCGTTCAAATAGCTAAATCATTTTTTTGTAACTTGGTACTCCAAACATGGAAGTTTCCCGGCAAAATGCCGACGTTCGTTCGCGAAGGGTTAACACGTTAATCGCCATGAAAATCATAAGCGTTTCCTGTAGAGTTTTTCTGTTATAGCAAAGAAAGGCAGGGATAATTATTAATTATTTACCGTTACAATGTTTGCGTTACACTATTATCAACTTAGTTATTATTAAATGTTCATTTCACATCGGTCATCTTGTTACGATTGTTCTCTAGTCATTCAGAAGCGTCAGTCACCGGTGCCTGCCATGGCGCTTAACGTGTTAACACTAGATTCACGAACATTTATTGTACAGTTTATTCTATTGTTCCCAGAAAGATTGATGTTCGTATAGATCTAGAAAATCAGTTTAAGAATGTATCATTAGAAACCATAATCGCGTAATTGAATGAATGAAAATCGACCGAAACATTCGCCAAATAATGTTTATAAAATTCAATATGAGTGAAATTGACTCGTTTCGTGAATCTATTGTTAATAGACAACTCGTTACATCACTTTTTATTAGATTAACCATTAGCAGTATGGTTAGTTTCGCAACTGCGAAATTATTTTATTGTTCGTTGGGAAAAGAAGAGGATTTTATAATTATTCTATGTACACTACTTTGAGACACTGCTATTGATAATAGAGAAATCATGTTTAGTTTGAACTTGAAAGGATTCACTAATACTTGATTGCATTCGTTAAATTCTATTCGAAATCTTCGCTAAGAGTGTGATAGGATATTATAGGCTAAACGATCAACCTGGATCTATATGAAATCTAGTGTTTCAGCTGAATTTCTGAATGTCGACATGATGCTTCACGTGTTAACGAAAAATCGAAGCTTAATCGAAGTTAAATTCTATTCGAAATGTTCGCCAAGAGTGCGACAGGATATTGTAAGCTAAAGGATCAACCTGGATCTATATGAAATCTAGTGTTTCAGCTGAATTTCTGAATGTCGACATGGCGCTTAATATGTTAACGAAAAATCGAAACCTTACCTGGCACCGAGATGCTGACGTTCCCAGGTTATCCTAGCGCGGAGGGAGAACTTCTCGACGAACACTAGCACACCTTTGGCTCTCCGTTGTCAGACAGCGAGCGTTAACGATAATGATAAGGAAAGGTCGCCCGTTGGACTCGCGGCGCAGACGGGACCGTGATCGGATCCGAAAGCCGAGCGTAATAATTGCAGCCGGCGCGACGGCTGAAGGACCTCCGACTGCACGTATAAACTTGCGCTCGGCCGGTTGCCGGCTGCTCGGCCGGACGAAAAACAGACAAAGAGTCTTCTTGCGCCGTGAGTAACGCCGGGGTCTCTCGGCCAATCAGAGGAATCGGCACGATCGCAGCCCGCGTTCAATCGGCCGGTCGTTGAGGAGCTTGATGACGCTGCCGTCGACGCCGAGCGTTTTGTCAGACCCGGCCACGCTACGACACGTTTTTCCAGGGAGCCTGGATGAACTTATCGAACCCATTTCGTCCCGCAAGCAACTCGTTTCGGAACTGTTGGAAACAATGATTTCTTTCTTGTCGAAAACCTCTTCGGAGACTAACATCTTTAATACATTGCGTACGAGAATCTCGTCTTTATTTAAACCTACCTTCGTAACTTTTCTAACTACCACGCCATTTAAAAAGGTATTAGATGTTATTAGAACTGATTACTTGTTTAATACTTATGAAAAAATAATAAGATATTTGAATATTTTGCATACAGTGATATATCACAAACTTATAAGTTGATCTCATTGAAAAATCGGCCATTTTTCGAAGAATTAACCGGTACGCAATGTAACACTCGTGAAAACTCCCATGTACTCGAAATGGTTTTCTTCATTAACCAGAAACGATTTCTCAGTTTCTGGTTAAGATTCAATAATTGCTCTACTATGTTCCTTATGTCTCATATATCAAAGAAAATTCGGTTTGTTCGATACGTTATTAAAAATATTAATGTCCAAGTTCCTGTGAAAAATGTCACCCGAATTTGGGTAACGTGGCAGTCAAATTTCAATCGTTTATCGTAATGGAAGAGAATACTACCACTGAAACCTTTCGTTACACGTGTACTCGAGTACACTGGGGTAGAGTGGATTGATAGAATACTGGGTGTCCTGGAAAATAGGCTGTTAACTCGT